ACAGTCTTTTTGCTTTGCCACATTTTTTTCTTGTCTGATTACTTTACAGTCAATTTCAATGGTATGATGAGAGGCGGAATTCTATTATTTGAGCAGGAAAAGCATGTCCCTTCGGGAGGCAAAAGGGCAGCATTAAAGTTTTCATCCTGCTTAATTACTAGGCGTTTTTCCTGCTGCTCTGGCTAATCTGACCGTAAGAGGATTGTATGTTCTTGTTTTCAGTAAATATCTAAAAGCAGTTGTTAAGAACTGCAGAATGAATATTAATCATAGCAGCAAAATATGACATCTGATTATGATTTTGATAACAAAAAATAGTGACATGCACTAGTATAGTCGGTTAGATAGTGCATTTTGCTCAGTTTTCTCCCATTGGGTGCTTGGTTTTAAAAATATTCACTGTTTTTCAATTTTATATGTGCGAAAATCGTCAAAATGTTGTCTGGCTCATGAGCTAGGAAATCAACACCAAACACGTGAGGCGATGTGCGGAAGTTAAATATAAATTGTTGAAATCGCACATGGAGTGGAGACATCAGCGTAAAATTTCAGCATTCTATCTCATCCCACGTGCTTTGTCACATCTTTCGATTCTGAGCTGCAAACCACCATTTAACACTTGTTAGCTGTTCAGTATATATGTCACATTAGAAAGACCGTTTACTTTCATGTGATGTACACATACTAATAAATGACGAGCAATGTCGTCAACAAGGCGATCAGCATGTCCTGCGCAAAAGAATTTACTTTTCACGTGGCTGCAGCAATATCCTGTACGTCTTTCAGCTGAACTATATTCTGATTGGTCACGAAAATACGCTCATTTGCTAATATCACTTCACTCCTCTGAAAATGGCTCCAACCTGCAGCCCTTCCAGATACGATTTCCGACCGGAAATTGCGGCACGCACACTCCCCGTGCGAAATGGATGTAACTATTATCTTTTTTTCAGTTCAGTAAAATCTGTCTATAATTTGGCCGCTGGCATATCAGTACTTTGTTTCATCTTGGTTTTCACTGCATTTATTTTCAGACCGACTTCCTAACTTTGTGCGCTAAGCTTCTACGGTAGTATCTCAGCCTCACTTCCTGTTGATCGGTACATCGACTGGAATGTAAAACAGCACTACATCTGTCGAACAGCCCACATCCACTGCCTCTATGATTTCCACAAGACCCTTTCCACCAGTAAAGAGTACTGTAGTCACGACGCTGCGGAGCGCTCAGTTATAATCGACGAATAAAAAACAAATCGGAGTTGTTCATGCCTCTCGTGCCTCAGCATCTGGCTCGGGCGAATCACTGTCCGTTTTATTGTAAATACCACACTGCCAAAACATTAGCAGTGGCTGAAGCCATTAATTACCAGAAATTTTTAGTTTCGCAGCATTCCAGTGTATCAGAACTCGCACACGAAGTCATGGTCGGTCAGTTGGTCGCCCCATTAGATGTATGCATGCCAAAGCATCAGGGAAGTTTTCGCATTTTTTGGAACCTGTTTTAAACTTCGCGTTGCGCAACACTCATTTCCTGTACAGGCAAATCGTAATGAGTGTCTGTGCTGAGCGGGAATGAACGCGCAAACAGTTATCAAGCACAGCGATGAGGAAGTCTGATTGCTTTATTTTACAAACACGAAGAAATTTCAATACGCAAGTAGCAGCATGTGAAATTAAAAAATCATATCCTTCCAAATGCACAAAATAGCAATGGATGGAGACAATCTGAAGTGTGACAAGAAGTCAGTGAGGTAAAGCCAGGAGAGTTACTGAACATGGGTACTAGCGACCACAGCAATCATCACGGCATCGGCCGGGAACGCTCCTTGATAACTGAATAGTATAGACATAGCAATAAAAAATACAGTACAAGATGTGCCATCTCGCAGGACGGACCAGGAATGTTATTTCAGGGAACAAGAGAACTGTAAGGAACTCCAGTGCATATCTGCTTGGCTGAGATATTTCATTCGTACACAAAGTGCAGTTTTCTCATGATGTTTGCTTCTCAGCTTCAACAAAGTGTTCTGGTAAAATCGTCACCGTCAGTAGTCCAGTCAGCACTGTTATTTTGTTTTCAGTGCGCAACCAGTCCTTTTATTTTTCAGAAAACACTGTCTTGTCTCAAAAACAAGATGCTCTCTAGAATCCATCACAGATCCAGCAAATTTTCCTTCTCCTCGACGTGGCTTAAACGTCGTCTGGAATAGCCTAACATCACAGCACTATTCCTCCCACTTCAACTGAATACCAAGATTTACTATTTACGCTCCCTGACATCGGGCTCTTCTCGAAATATCCATGTCGAGAACAGCAACTGAACCATCTGGCCCCGAGTTTGCAAATTACGGTGCTAGTGATGGTATGCTGCACAATAGCTATTACTCTCCTGGGCGGTCTTCCTCTTCTCCAATGATGATTTTCTAAGCAGCGCCGCGCTTCGCTCGTGTGCTGGTACCACCTCAACTGGTTTGTCGTCCGGCTCCTTCCCATGGATGTCCCCTTGTGGCCCCAGCGAGTGTCGTAAAGCCTCATCTGGATTCTGCTGCCTCAAATTGCACAACTGGCCACGCTCGCGATTTTGCTTGCTTTTATAGTATTTGTTAGCCATGTTTCACAATAACTGCTTAAATTTGCATGTTTACAAACAATAAGCAGCTCGCAGCATATGCAAATCGAGAGTTCTAAACGGCAATAACAGGATATATTTCAGGTAAGTTTTGAACAGGTGGAATAAAGCAGCTTTCGTTTTTCGACCTTATGGATTTTTGAGTTGTTTTTGGGCCTATTTTCTGCAAGTAGAATCATTGGATTCACTAG